AGGTTCCTGAGTGTGACCATTTGACAGGTTCTTCAGTGTGACCACTAGACAGGTTCCTGAGTGTGACCACTTGACAGGTTCTTCATAGTCACCACTAGACAGTTTCTTCAGTCTGACCACTAGACGGTTTCTTCAGTCTGACCACTAGACAGTTTCTTCAGTCTGACCACTAGACAGATTCTTCAGTGTTACCACTAGGCCAACGCCCGAGACCCACGATTACCGAACTCTAACACATGTTACAAAATGTATGCCAAAACATGTTCGACAGCTGTATAACCACTTGACACGGAACCTTCGTTCACTGAAGTACACAGTATGCAGCGGCTAATTGTGTACCTGGGGTATTTGTATTTCAAATGTGTATCTTGTTCAAGCGGACCTTCTTTAACCTTTTTTAGGCCAACAAGGATTGAATCGGGTTTCACGCACAGATGGGATTGCACTTCCTTGTTGAGGCAGAACATTGTTTACAGACAATGCTGCACATTGTGCTGCCGTGAGGGAACTTGTGTCCTTCAAGGGATTCACCGGATTGTCTTTCTCAAAGGGTGCACTATCAACATGTCTTCTTTATAGCATTGTCCATGCAAGCGGTGTACATGGAAATGTTTGTGACCAAGCAGATCGAATGTTCTCGGGGTTCTTCAAACCGGAGTAGTGTTGCAGCACATATCGCGAGGCTATAGTGAGGCTTCATATCGTAGTTTGAGGGGCATCAAAGCTGCCGTATATCACGGTATTAGGATACAACATGCTAGGCCATGTCATAATCTATTTTGTATTACCTCACACACAAATGTCGCTTTCTGATTGGCTCAGCGCTCTTCTAATATTTTCAATGTACAATGTTACAAGCGAGTAACATTTTCTGTGTTACCCGCTGGGAATGCCGAATAGTGAGAATTCATTTGGTACTTCTTGTTAGTAATTCTTTATCTCGAATAATTGAGTCACATATGACGTACGGAAATTACCGATATTTTGCGAATGCAAATCGATGAAAGGGAGATAACACTAAAGTTTGTTTTTCTTGTCGTCTGTCATTGTCGGTATTGGCTAATTGCCTAACACTGGTGCTCCTTATTATGGTTCGATACCCGTGCTTCAAACAGATAAAAAAATTCATTTATCTTCGGTAAGATAAATACGGTGTTCACAGGACCCCCTCGGGGCCCATGGGTTGATGTACCCTCAATGTTTGTTTATGTTTGCGTTAGGGACAACAGGGCGTGATGAGGAGAACTGTCACGTGCGTCAAGGCCGACAGGGCGTGATGAGGAGTACTGTCACGTGCGTCAAGACCAACAGGGTCTGATGAGGAGAACTGTCACATGCGTCAAGGCCGACAGGGCGTGATGAGGAGTACTGTCACGTGCGTCAAGACCAACAGGGTCTGATGAGGAGTACTGTCACATGCGTCAAGGCCGACAGGGCGTGATGAGGAGTACTGTCACGTGCGTCAAGCCAACAGGGCGTGATGAGAAGTACTGTCACCTCCGTCAAGTTGAATCAGCTAACGTTTACACACCTACTTCCGTCATACACGTCTCGGTAGACCTTTTCGGTCTTTATTCGGTTATTATCTTCCACTATATTGTATACACAACGATAACATTACGTATCAAAGCAAAAACGAATTGTGATATGATAATGATAGCATTCAAACCTACCAACAAAGCATATAACACTATCGTCTATTCCACTGTAAACAACACTCACTACACCAGCGTGTTTAGTAATAACATAATACATTATCTCGGCCCTTTGTACTTTGTTAAGTGGGTGAGTGAGTTAGGTTTTACGCCTCACTCAGCAATATTCCAACTATATGGCGGCGGTCTGTAAATAATGAAGTCTGGACCAGACAATCCAGTGATCAACAACATGAGCATCGATCTACGGTATACGATGCGATGACGCGTGTCAGCCAAGTCAGCGAGCCTGACCACCCGATCCCGTTAGTTGCCTCTTACGACAAGCATGGGTTACTGAAGATCAATTCTAACCCGGATCTTCACGGGTTGTAGTTTGTTAAGTACTGGGTAGTATTGTCTTTATCAACACCATTTGAAAGTAGAGGGTAAACTGGTACAATTAAACATTGTTTTCATTTAAAACTTATATATATAGTTATACAAGTCAGTGTATAGGGAATTGTTTCATCATGACGTCCCTGGTAGTGGAATAACAGTCCCTGACCTATACAGGAGCTGTACCAGGACGTCGTCGTCACACACACAGGCTACATCCACTTAATGGACATCGTCCATAGATAGTATTCTAGCGGGAAACAATAAGATTCTGAACAGTATTATTATCATCTGTCTGATTCTCCTATCTTTGTTCAAACAGAGACCATATAATAGACTATTATATGGTTTCTGGTTCAAGGGATCATATTTCCAGACTTATAAATCTATATATCACGCCCGGTGAAGCTTTGAAAGCTGCAATCATGTTGTGTACACATGTATATACAGTGTGTACCGTGTTGGCCATACCGGCTACGGCGGGAGCAGAAACTGCCTGGCCCCATGTTGACCCGACTGGGTGGATCTACAGCCCCAGTATGGTATGTATGTAGGTCAGCTTTTGATCATACTGAGAATATGCTTGTTCAATGCAAAACGTTTTCAATGCCTAAAGTCCCGAGAAGGGAATGTACACTGCGTTGAATGACTAATCTGAAATAGTTCATATCAAATTCAAACAACATATTCGAAACAACAAAAAATATATCACGTATTTACAGCCCGATTGTTTCCAATTGAAAACGATAAATTGCAAATTAACTCAAAATCGGGGAGAGTCTATGAAAATTCCATACTGTACCCTGCACCCAACAATATCTGCTGCCTATTATTTTTGTACCCATCATTGGACAAAGTTGTTGACGAAACTATCATGTTGTTAGGTGCACAATTGGACACTTTTAACGGAGGGGGCACAACAGTAGGAGGAACAGCCCAAACACGTCCTGCACGTGCTACAAAGTGTACGGTATTGTACACTCACAAACATGAAGCAGACAGAAGAAAACAGTTGTATGATATTAATAAATGCTTGAAACGACCGTTTGAAGCTAAGCTCTTGGTATGTCTATTAAGAAGCTGAAAAATGTTGTCCGTCGACGGGATTCTGGAAATCAGGCCATTGGTTGATAAATTAGACAGTTTTTAATAAAATAAATGAGACGTAAAATTGTTCATCTGATTTTTTTAAATGTACGTGCCACTAAGACTGTTGAAGGAATACCCTGAAAGTGAACCTGTGAATGATACTAGAATGAGTGTACTTGTGTTAGATATATACATCACATATGACCCTGTGATCTGGAGGTACTGGTATGTCGGTTACTCCTGTGTATATGGACTCCGGGTCAAGTCAGGACTCATTATCCAGGCATGTCTGTCAACTACCCGCCGCAGGCAATGGTCCTTTATCTTAAAATGTCTTTGTAGTTGCCACGCTTCATCAAGCATGTCTATATGTGTCAAAGGAAACCCTGGTTTATGAGGGGAATTTACAACTCCTCTAGCAGATCTAGAGTGATATAGCTTGGACACTAGCGCAATATACACTAATTATACAGTGACCACGAGTCTCTAAAAATAGATATATATTCAATTTGTGACATTTTAAACTGTCAAGTCGTCGTCTTCCTGTTGAAACTGGAAGATGGTTCAATATCGATTATAATTGTAGAAAATGTACTTTGTGCACCTTAAATGTACTAGAGATGAGTACCACTACCTGTTTAACTGTCAATATTTTAACGAAAGAAGAAAAAGGTTTATTCCCAAAAGGTTCATTACAATATGATTCATATATTTCAAACAAAACAATGTATCCACCTAAATAAGATTGTCCATATTTTGCCGCCATGAGCTATGTAGATTCAGATACATACTCCTTCAATACATTATTCATGCATATACTTAGCCATGTATACACCCGTATACAATTATTTTATATCTCTTCATGCTACATTGTAGTCTTGAGTGAATACAGTAAGGTAAATCAGGGTGGGTTTGTTAGAGGATTTGTTGCTTCAGTGCAATCACATACTGATTGTTTGATACAGACAGTGTCTGTGGGCAAGTACATATTCACTGTTCTAAATATACAAACTTATAACACACAGGCACACACATGGAGAAAATATTTCTTCCGTTTTGAAATATTTCAACAGCATGTCGCTGTCCAGATCGTGGTCGATCGTTTCAACACAACAAAACCCGGAGTATTTATAGTTCACGTGTCAGGTCTACACCCGTTCGTGAATGAACCACCAGTTCGGTCCACCATGACGAATCTGGTTTAGGAGCTGACAGCCTTCAGTTGGAACTCACGATTTGTGGCAGTTATTTCCCGAGTGTGTGTAAAACACGCACTATAAAGTGTGGGCTCCCTATAAACTGACCCGTGTAGGAGCGACAGTGTATGTACATTAATAACCGAACACCGACAGCAGGACAGTGTTGATGGGAGTCAATAACGTCAGGGTCTCGCCTATAACAAAACCGGTTACTGGTTCCCTTTCACTGCACTAACACAATAGGCAACAAGTGCAGGCAACTAATAGAGAGGTATTTAGCGCTATAACGAGGCCGGTATAACAGTAGGACACGTACTTCCTACAAACACAACTTTTAAGAACGGAGAAAGAAAAATAGCGAAGATTTTACAGTTGGGTTAATCGTTATTTCCCGTGTGCTGTGAGCGATCATATATAGGTCATGTATATCGGGTTAATGTTAATATGGTCGGTTGGAGCAACTACACATACCCCGACTGTCACCATCTCAACACACCTGCCATGTTTCGTCATATATACACATTTCAGTAAGTTATACTGTAGTTATACTGTACTGTAGTGTGTAGCGTGTAACATGTTGACAGGCGTTGTCCACGACTGTCACTGAAACCTACAACATCCTGGTTGATAATGTACATAATAAACATCGATAAACGTCGATAAACAAAACACCACTCACCTGGAATCAATGTTAAGAAGACTACCATCGTCTCACTCAGTAGAGATGCCATTGTGATCCTTCTGGGTACAATCCTAGTTTGTAATATCAGCACCCGGCCAGTCCTCCGTCCCAGTCTGTTCTCAGCACTGAGATCACCGTCGTACTGTCACTCTAGCGTGGTCGCAGTGGGCCGCGGGTTGGGTTACCTGTGTCGCCGCGCAGCTACCTGTCCCCTGAGTGGGATGGATGTGTCGGGGAGTTAAGCTGATTGGTCCACTTATACACGGATTTCGTAAACTTGGAAATATCCCAGATATAAATTACCTGTTACGTCAGTCCTATTGCTTGAAACAGATGTCTAATTTGTGGATGGAACGTTTTCTATATGATCGTGATACAGTTGTCGATTGTGTATGTTTCCCATATATTTGTTTACTTTCAATGTGTTTAATATATTCGTTAACTATTCGGCGTAAATATTTTGAATATTTCATTCAGACTGTGTATGTTGCCCTATTTATATTGTGTGCCTCTTTACCACTGTAGGACTAGCTTCAAGTCACGTGATGTACATAACGGCATATTACGTGCACACATCATCAGGTGGCTTTGTGTTATTTACGGAAGTATCGTCTGTAATACTGAACTCCGTATCCATTGTTGACTGGTGTGAGACAATACGTACCCTGCAGCGGACCAGTGGAATCAGGAGTCCGCTTCAAGGCCTCATTTGATTGGCTGTGACTAACGGGGAAGGGAAAGTGATTTGAGAGTGAGTTCGAATCCCTGTGTGATTTCGATGCCCATCCATGGTGTACAGCACTTATGACAGTGTCGATGTAGTGGTGAACACGTCTCCAGTCGACGACAGTTTCGTGAGAGTTACCTGAGACTGAGACTGCTCTGCCGCGACACGACACGTCACGTGACTCAGATATAACCAATAACAGCATGCTCTGCTTTCACTGCATGCTGATGTCCACATGGGATGGTGATATGTGTGACGTATTAGTTTAAATGTCTCAGCAAAACGTTATATTTATAGAAAGTCGACCCTCCACTTATTCCGGATGCTATATATATATATATATATAATACTGGTTGCTAGGGGCGACCGAGTGGATTTAGTGGTTAGGATCGGTCCTCCCAGGTTTTCCCTTGTCCTATATTCTCGTTGCTATGGGCGACCGAATCTATGGAATATTGCAGTTATTGCAGCAAACACAATGCTTACCTCACACAAAACATTTTGACAATACACCATGAACAAGCAGCTTTATGATCACGACGGGTCTCCTGTTTGTCTCTACAGAAACATATAGTTTTATTTTACGGAGACCGTATATGCCAGAAGGATGAATGCAATACACCATGCTCGTTCTTTAGAAAACAAAACGCACGTGTTGCCCGGTCGTGCACCGTCTTGCCCCGTGGGTTATTTATAGGTTGGAGTTGGTTCTATGAAACCGTCAATCGAGGCGACTAGCTCAGTGGTCAGGTGTACTGGTTGATCGCATGTGTGTGCCCACACAGTGGTTCGTTGTTCAATCAGTAGCCTTTGTACTACAGCGTCAACAAGCCCACATGACTCACAAACAACTTGTCCGATTTCACTTAGTACCAAATAATGATACGAAATTCCATTCTTGTGAGTTATGTAATTGTCACTTCCCAGGCACTCATGTCGCCGTGCATGTCACTCATAACGAAAACAAATTATGGGGAGCAATTGACTGGTAAAGAAATTAACACAGATATAAGCCACTTTTCACATAAAGACATGAAACATTTTGCCAAACATATTTTATTGACACCAATGGTGCCTACGGCGCAGTACGAGGTCAAGAACAGCTGGACACTGCCCACACCCAGTTGCATGTCTTGTAGACGAGGTCAAACACCAGTGGGGTGGGGCAACTCAAGGTGTACACCATCCCCTGAACACAACGGTAGAACACAGAGCAGTCCACGTCGCTCCGACGCCATTCCGCTGACGTTCCTGACGCACACTCGGAGACGACATCTGCAGAATAGATGACGTTGTGGTGTTAATGGTGAAATTACTGTGTAGTGATGTGCGGTTGTGCATAGGGTAGAGGTCACAAATCAGTTAAGTTAAACAATCTTGTCCTTAAATGGATGTCTGCGTTCGAAACTGCCTCTGTTCAAGCAGTGAATGGGTACCATGTGGGATGAGATGGCTCTATGATTGTTAACCTTTCATCGTCTCACCCGGATAATTAATGCATGCATAAGGATGGAAATTGCGCATCATGAATTGACCATTTTTAATTGGTGATTGTTATTGAACAAATAATGTCAGCACGTATTCATGGATAACACAGAATTTGCTATCATTATCTCTATAAGAAAATAGTGAGACGTTAGGCTGCGTCTGCCATACTAATGCTGATAATACACGACAATACAAATATGACCAATTCCCCCTAGCTCCCGTAACACACACTCATTCTCAACTGAGGCGGAATTCGGAAGTCATTCCAGCGGTACCAGAGTCTGCATATACACAGTAGATCATGGTACTGCACGCACATAAAGATATGTTAACGGAAATAGTAACTGTGCATAGCATAAAATTCCATAAAAAAACAGTTAGATGAAAAGTTATGAAAAATAATTAAGAAATACAGTTCGCTCTACCACCATGTATCGTGTAATAAAACACACTTTCGCCCTGAACTATAATAGTTAAAGTACAGAGGACGCTTGCGTCCGAGTGCTTTAACGTTATAATAGTTCAGGGCGAAAGTGTGCTTTATTACACTATACACATGGTAGAGCGAACTGTATTTCTTTTCTAAGATGCCAAATTCAATACTTTCTAAGGATAATTACGATTAATTTAAGGTAGACAACAGACGACGGTGTCGGTGACCTAAATTAAGGATCCCCGCACAGGGCTAACGTCATTCAATTGTTACGTCATCAAAAAACTATACCTTTATTGTCTGATAATGTTGTTGTTTTTTCGATTGTTCTAACCGCTAGGCATCTTAGAACCCTAAATACAACATGTAGCAAAGCACTTTGCATGAAATTTGTTGTCACCTATAACGCGTGGCACGGCTTACATCAAATCCGCGCCGGGGGTACGCTGGAGACTGGAATGGCCCAAAATGAAGTGGCCAGACATTTTGGCGCCCATCGAAACACGATCTCATCTCTCTGAAGAAGTTTTCAACATAATCGGAACACGAGAGATTTGCCGCAGATCGGCCGTCCACGCGTGACGTCACGTCAGCAAGCCAATCACATTCGGCTGACCCATCTGAGGGATCGATTCCAGACTGCCAGTTTGACTGCTCGGACCATTCCGAGTCAGTTCCAGGACTGTACAGAACTGACTGAGGAGCACATCATCCAGCCCCGGCGGCCTGCAATACATCCAATCTCACCTACAGGCACATCTTACCCGGCATCTACAATGCAGGAGACAAGATTGGAATGGTGTTTTGTACACTGACGAGGCGAGATTTCATCTGGACAGCTCAGATGGCAGGGCAAGGGAGTACAGACGGCGAGGTGAACGGTATGCTGACGCGTGCGTTGTTCAACGTCGACAGTTTGGTGGCGGAGTGTTATGATATGGGGGGGGGCATCACATCTCATGGTCGGACCCAACTTGTCATTGTCAATGGCAATCTGACAGGTCTGCGATATAGGGATGAGATCAATGGGCCTCATGTACAGCTGTTCATTCAAGGACAGAGACGTAACTTCACGCTTCAGCAAGATAATGCCCGTCCACATGTCGCTCGTGTTGTGATATATTTCCTGAGATAGGAGAACATTCCGGTTCTCCCCTGGCCAGCTGTTTCTCCAGACCTGTCCCCTATCGAGCACGCTTGGGATGAAAAGGAGAACTAGCCATTCACGTCAGCTGAATTGGGACAAGCGTAGGTTCAGACCTGGAACAACATTCCCCACGCTTTCTTCAGTCACTTTGTGTCGTCCATGCGTCATCGTTGTCAAGCCTGCATCAACGTCTATGGTGGACACACACGATGCTGAATTTGTGAACTGAATTCAGACACCACATCTCTTCAAGGACGTGTCACGATGCCTAGAGTCAACTAATACAGATTTCGATAGTTTCCTGTCAACAGTTAAACAGTGATTAAGAAAAACACCACAAATCATGGTGTTATTCTTTGCTTTAAGAAATGGCATGACATCAAATAATGTCACTGCTACGTTCTTCCGTTAGTATATATAAACACCACCTACCATTAAAATTGCTTGCTATCGTTGTCGGTGATGATGGTGTTGTTCCTGAAGTAGTGTCTGAGGTTGTGGTGGCAGATGTTGTCACAGATGTAGTGGGAGAGGTAGTCATAGCAGATGTAGTCGTTGGAGATGTCGTAGCAGACGTGGTTGTAGCAGACGTAGTTGTTTGAGATGTTGTAGCAGACGTGGTTGTAGCAGATGTAGTCGTAGCAGATGTCGTAGAAGATGTGGTTGTTGCTGACGTAGTCGTAGGAGATGTTGTAGCAGACGTAGTCGTAGGGGATGTCGTAGCAGATGTGCTTGTAGCAGACATAGTTGTTGGAGACGTTGTAGCAGACGTGGTTGTAGCAGACGTAGTCATAGGAGATGTCGTAGCAGATGTAGCTGTAGCAGATGTAGTTGTTGGAGATGTTGTAGCAGACGTGATTGATACTGACGTACTCGTAGGAGATGTCGTAGCAGATGTGGTTGTATCAGATATAGTCGTAAGAGATGTCGTAGCAGATGTAGTTGTTGGAGATGTTGTTGCAGACGTGGTTGTAGCAGACGTAGTCGTAGGAGATGTCGTAGAAGATGTGGTTGTAGGGGATGTGTTTGGTGTGCTGGTGGGTGAGGTTGCTGGTGAAGTTGTAGGGGATGTAGATTGGCATGTCAGCGCTGCACTAAGTTCTGACACCAACGGATATTCCTTGCCGCAGAATCCTCCTGTAAAATCATCCATGTCAAGAGACCAGACCATGGCACCGCCGTAACCGTTGTCCTTGACGTACTGCATCTGGGAGGGGAGACAATGGGGTGGGATGAAACACCGCTGCATGTTTAGGATACCCCCAAAAGGCCGCGACATTGTTTGCCAAACTGATTCGAAAGAATATATATGTAGACAGTTTTGGAATTTGTCTTTGACGGGCATTGTTCACGAAGGTTTAGCTGAACAGTTTTAAGATTATGAACAAAGGAACACCCTAACACATCTAATATACACAACCCCCAGGCAACATGTGAACTAAATACACAACAAGGCAGGGTATTTCCTAATGCTATTTCCTTTGGTACCTCTGCGACGAAGACCTAACAACCAAGACAAATGTTGAAGAAATGTTCGATGACCCTCAAGAGAGAGTTGTTACCCATCTAGGGTATGAAAGGATCAGGACCATAGCCTTTCGTGAGAATGTATAACGTTTTGATGAAGACCTAATTAATGGTGCTGTGCGACTTGTAATCATGGACAGCGTTTGTCGTCACCACTAGCAATCAGACAACAGTCTAAGCAATGGAAAAATCTCTCGTCTACTCCTTGGATGAAGACAAAATCTGCACCATCAGTAGAAAAGAGGTTATTTCCGTTTTTTTCAATTTCAAAGAATTCATATTGTAAGGGTAGACAAAGAACGGCAAATACTTAAATGAATACTAGTATGCTCAGGAATTCAACCAGGACAATGCACCTGGGTCCAAGTCAACATGGCTGCAGTGAATGACCGTGGCTTTGAAATCATTGACTACATCCAATACATTCAACTCTTCCATTACCTGATAAACGAGCCGTCTAGCAAACATGAAGTAAAATAAATAAGATGACATAATAAGGAAGGGTCTTACACAGCGGGATCCAGGCCCACGTCCGGCATCGTCGGCAGTCTAAGTGGGTGAACCTCGGAGGCCACCATGTGGAGTAGTAACTTGTAAGCGTGTCCATCAAGGCAGTCAGTCATAGCTAATAACAGACGTTTCGGCCACCTCAACACCCTTCGAAAACCATCATGTCGCTGATTAAGGACCATGATATACAATGCTGTCATGCTACTTTAGGAATGACACCACTGTAAAACAGTAGCAGCACCCTCCAGCACCCTGTGTATTTGACCATATCGCTATATACAGAATCCTGTGTCACCATTCGCAACGTAGAAGAACCATTTCTCACCTGCCCCACCACACTAAGCATCTTTCACACTCACGAGAGTCATTCTATATTTTGTGGTACACAGTTCGAATCAGCTCGAAGTGCATTGGCGTTGGTTGTATGAAACAGAAGATATAGAAGACCTACGACCTTACTGAAGTCCAATATAAGAACGTGCGTCAATTCTCTAGCTCGTCTAAGACTAAGGCTATACAGACCAGTAAGGCTATACAGACCAGTAAGGCTATACAGACCAGTAATACACACCAGGCTATACAGACCAGTAGGCTATACACACCAGTAAGGCTATACAGACCAGTAAGGCTATACAGACCAGTAAGGCTATACAGACCAGTAAGGCTATACAGACCAGTAAGGCTATACAGACCAGTAAGGCTATACAGACCAGTAAGGCTATACACACCAGTAAGGCTATACAGACCAGTAAGGCTATACAGACCAGTAAGGCTATACAGACCAGTAAGGCTATACAGACCAGTAAGGCTATACAGACCAGTAAGGCTATACAGACCAGTAAGGCTATACAGACCAGTAAGGCTATACAGACCAGTAAGGCTATACAGACCAGTAAGGCTATACAGACCAGTAAGGCTATACACACCAGTAAGGCTATACAGACCAGTAAGGCTATACAGACCAGTAAGGCTATACAGCCAGTATACAGACCAGTAAGGCTATACAGACCAGTAAGGCTATACAGACCAGTAAGGCTATACAGACCAGTAAGGCTATACAGACCAGTAAGGCTATACAGACCAGTAAGGCTATACACAGACCAGTAAGGGCTATACAGACCAGTCATCATAGCCCACCCACTCCGTGTGTCCATTCCGGGGGCCGTATGAGAAGGGAACACCCATAGACTCCACACGAACCGTGCTGAATCCACCCTCAAGCAGCTGGCATATCTGACAACAGAGTGTGACAGGAACATAGTTCTGGTGTGAGAATGCATCAAATACATTCATTGTAACACCAAGAGTCATTTAAATCGACCTTACTCTAAGGTTAGTGCCAGTACAGCAGTTAACACGCCTACTCGTTGTAGGCTTCAGTGGCTTGAGGTACAGTCACAAGAAACATTCATCCTGGCAAACAACCATCTCCGGCTCAATAACTGTTTGACAGTGCTGGGTTAGACAGTAAGTCATACTTACTTCATAGTAGCTGAGCGAACCTGTCATGCGGGTGTAGGGCCCAGCGGATCCTGCTGCCGAAAAGGGAGATCTGATGGCTATTTGGGACGGATCTGATAGACGGAAGTGTCTCCCATAGGTTGGTATTCCCATCAACATCTTCTTCGGATCTGCTCCCTGGTCCCGCCAGTACCGCATCGCATAGTCCTTTCAACACATTTAACTCATTTCAACAGTCTACACACTGCGTCCATATAGACACAGTTATGTCAACATTGAACTCACTGGCGACACATGAATACTGCGTGAGCACCGCTGTTCTCAAAATTCAGAGCATTATCTTGACAAATCTAACATGACATCTGCCGTTTGAGACCACCTATACAAAGTCCAGATCATTTTATTTCGTGGCAACAAACCAAGATTCTCCACATCAAAACCTTTCATTGGAAGAACAGGAAACTTCAAGAAAACACAGAAATTCAAGGAAAGAAGCCAGTCGAGACCATAGTCCCAGCTCCCTACCAGAGCCCAGCGTCTACTCCACCATGGTATCGTCATAATAGCCACCACGATTGCCCCCTTGCTTGTGTCACCATTACATTATTATCGTTGTACATTCATGCTATATATTAGCTTTACATAGCTGTGCATTAATCCCACCTTGTGTTGTGTTAACAGTACAATGATTATTCCATGCACTTGCTCAGCATTCATCGAAACAAGGGGCAAGATGTAGCTCTGAAACGTTGTCATAGAGAATGTACTTATGTTCTTTAAACTTCCAAATTCCTTTCACAGATTTCATTATCGGCGCATACTAGCAGTATGTTGTGGACACGTAGTAAAGTATTCCAATATCAGCCATCAATTGCCAGATAGTAGGTCCGGGTAAGGTATGGAATGTCGGACATAAATAATAACGGACCAGAGAAAAGTTTGAATTTGGAACACTCCACAGGTGTATCACTTTCCACGATTTTTAATCAACATGGTGGAATGTGTCATAATTTTAACCATCTATACTGTAACTGTGTTACCAGGTATATTATTACCCACGTGGTCAACGTATGGGTAGTTACACACTAATCTCGTACGTCACACGAGTGTCGTATCGTGTTGACCTGTGTCGTAACGACTTGTCGTAACCTGAGATTCTAACGATTTGATTGGATAACCGATGAACTCTCAATTAGGTCACGTTGTGACGGAACTACTTTTTCATTCATAACAAACACGTGAATTTACTCATTCTACACAAGAACACTTGTTTCGTATAATTCGTATGTTATGAGACCGAGTGTAGTATTCTCTATGTAAGCCCACCTATAGCTCTCCATCCTTTTCCGAGGCGAGGCAGGTCCAACTTGTTTTAGAATGATGTACAGTGGGTTTTTTTCTGAGACTTCATTGCGTGGAACTAAGCGTCTGGTTGTCTGACCTTTTTTAATGGACGTGAACACTGATGGCCACCTGGCATGGCTTCCTTGTAACCTTCAGTGATGAACAGTGGTTTTTTTTGAGACTTCATTGAACAGGAACTGACTTTTATTGCGTTTCTTCAACCATTTGTACACATTCCTTGTCTGATTGAAATCGAAAACTGTATTCATAAGATCACTAATGAAAACATTCCATGTCACACCAACTTTTGCTTCTGAGTATATAAAGACAGGCGGCGTGTGTGAGCGTGGTTCTGGTCTTCGTGTTAGTTGGAGCAGGTGTGGGGAGAGCGGTGAGTGAGCGTGGTTCTGGTCTTCGTGTTAGTTGGAGCAGGTGTGGGGAGAGCGGTGAGTGAGCGTGGTTCTGGTCTTCATGCTAGTTGGAGCAGGTGTGGGGAGAGCGGTGAGTGAGCGGACATACCGTGTAGTAGATGGCGCTGTTGGAGCAGGTGTGGGGAGAGCGGTGAGTGAGCGGACATACCGTGTAGTAGATGGCGCTGTTGGAGCAGGTGTGGGGAGAGAGCGGTGAGTGAGCGTGGTTCTGGTCTTCGTGTTAGTTGGAGCAGGTGTGGGGAGAGCGGTGAGTGAGCGTGGTTCTGGTCTTCATGCTAGTTGGAGCAGGTGTGGGGAGAGCGGTGAGTGAGCGGACATACCGTGTAGTAGATGGCGCTGTTGGAGCAGGTGTGGGGAGAGCAGTGAGTGAGCGGACATACCGTGTAGTAGATGGCGCTGTTGGGGTTGTAGAGCGGGCTGTGGTGATCCACCTCTGGGGGAAACGTCCAGGCTCCCTGGAAGTCGTATGCCATGATGCTTAGGAAGTCCACGTAGCTGCAACAGTGATTACACATTACAACACATGACAGAACTTGATACCATGTTTGAACACATCACTGCCTATCTACACTCTTAAAAAGATAGAAACACATACGGGATTTTGAGACTATTGAACTCATGTAGCTGCGGCAGAAACAACACAATGATACTATTTCTTTCTAAAACGTCATCTCTGTGTGATTGTAAACGGCTACGGAGCCAAAACGGGGCAATTTCAATTCTTTCCCTTTTTCAAAGAAGCGTTTGAAGAAATATTCGTCAAAACGTCACCAAGAAAACATGCAAAAGCTGTGGAATCGAAGTCTGCCGTTGCCCGACATTTCAACGATCATCAGAGCACCATATCTCGACTTGGGGATCATTTCCTGCAGACCAATTCCGCTCAAGGTCGGTCGAGAAGCGATCATCCTAGAGTTACCACGCAAGCCCAGGACCGCTACACCCGGGTTGTGCAATTGGGTCATTTCTTGCCATCCAGACTGCACAAAGCAATCCTGGTTTGAAATTTTCCGACCAAACTGTCAGGAATCGATTGCGTGAAGTGGGGATTAGACCAAGAAGGCTTCACAAAGGAGAGACTTCCATTGGCGCAATCACTGGAACCTGACCCTAAGAACCTGGAGGCGAGTCTGGTTCAGTGATGTATCACGATTTCTTCTTCACCGGCGAGATGGAAGACAGTGTGTTTGCCGCCGGAGAAATGAACGGTTTGCCCCTAATTGCATTCGACAGGTCGACAGATTCGGTTGAGGCAGTGTCATGGTGTGGGGTGAGATCAAACATCTGACTTAGTAGTGGTTCAGGGAACTTGACAGCAAATCGGTACATCAACAAAGTCCTTGCACGTCACATGCTTCCGATCATGGACCGACAGAGGGACTTATTCCAGCATGACAACGCTACTTGACATACAGCACGCGTCACAGCCCGCTACCTTGCCAGTTCTTACGTCAATGCCTTGTCAAAACACGCCTCATACACTTCCACAACTGACCATCGCACTGCAGTGTGAAAAAGTCCGCAAGTGCGACCTCGTCGACTTATCCAGTCTGTGCCGAGACGGTGCCGAGCTGTAATTTCTGCCAATGGTGACCATACACAGTACTCACGTTAGCCATCTTGTGGATTCAAGTAAACAAACACACAACAATAAAGACTGTTGCTGTGTTTGCGAACTCTTTGTCTATTGACGTGTGAATTGTGACCTGTTTACCATTGAAAGTACATGAAATAATTGCAATAAATTCTAACGCAATAAATTCTTCTAAGAATGGCGTATGCGTTTCTTGTTTGAAGAGTATATGTGCCGCGGTGACTGCACGTGGAAACAAGTGGATACCGGACAATGTGTTACCAACTACCCTTGGCAACTGACGTGCATTGTAAAACCTGACCTAGATAACATATGTTAATTACCTAGATAACAGAGGTGTAATGTACTATGTTACCAGCTGACCTAGATAACAGAGGTATGTTGTAGGAGCCGTCGATGATGGGCTGGCCAGCTGACACAGCGGCAGCCAGTATGAGGCGCTTCCGGTCACCCGTGAGAACTTCTTCATCAAACTTGGTACGTAGAGTCTTCAACCGAGCAAACACACGATGTTCAACATTCAGCATCAACTGGGAGTTCTATACCAATCATTTATAGCATCATCATTCGCGTAAAAACATGCAGATATTATGTTATGATAACAAAGTAAAATTGATCCGCATCTGGTGCTAGCTACATCATGGTTTCTATAGCGACCTGATTTTTAAAGGCAGCTTGTCACAAAATGTATATATGTCGACGTTCTGTTACAGTTCGCACCGACCTCCATCAGTTCCGTGTGTTGTGTCTTGTGGCCGGTCATTGACGGATATTCCCAGTCTATGTCGAGCCCGTCGAGGCCGTTGTCACGTATGAAGTTTATGGCGTTGACGGCAAAAGTTTGCATATCAGCCTGAGACTGTGTGACGCTAATAAAGCCTTGTATACGCTGCCAGCCACCCAGGGCAGCCAGAAGCTTCAGGTCAGGGTTGGTCTGTCTGACGGCACGTAGCTGCTGTAACATAACTGACGAAGAACATTGTGTCACCAATACAAAAGTAAAACTGCATCATTTTGTTGTAAAGAACCTAGATACCTCCTGTATACCAGGCGTCAAACACAATATCACACCCCGAAATTCCTAGACTATGCTTAATTTACATTTGCCCCGGGCGCCGTACGATAAATTGGTCTACGTTACTCCGTGCGATGTTTGGGGCATCGTAGATGGCTGCGGGCTACGGTGTTTGTGTTCATACTATCTACGATCATCATGGCATTCTTGTATTGTCCCTAGGGGGCAAGCCGGGGCAATCTGTACAGAGGCTGTTCGGACATCGCAGCCGTTGTGCAGCCGTTGTGCCGTTTTAAGCATCATCAAAACTGTATAAACATTATCACACACAACATTTTTGCTTGTGGTTTCCAATCGCACATTAAGAAACTAGAATTGTAAGTTTAGGCAACAACACAATGTCTAAATCAAGCAAACGGAGAAATGGATGGAAATCCAAGAAGGACCCACAGCCTGTTGAGAAGTTGCAATATATAGCCTACCCATCTGACAAGTGTTTGGCCCGCCTCAAGGCGGCTACACGCCCATGGCGAGGATTGTGCCGCCTGCGACATGTCTATTAACTTTTCAAATTTCTATTACTTCCCGCGAAACAAAATCGTAGAGGCTGCGGAGTCAGTGAATCCGTACGAACATCTCGGAAGCAGCACAGGAAAGTGGATATGGGCAGGATACGGGGTCCGAAGATCAATCGCATGCCAAATGACTAGTACGTGTCCCCGCACATACCGACTCTCCCACGTGCCTCCAACACTGACACTCCCATATTACGTGCCCGATCACACAAAAAATAAAACACCCAGAGATTACGCCCGCCCCCCCCCCCCCACACACACACCGATAGTGTCAGATTACGTGTCCCCGCACGCCGACTCTCCCACGTGCCTCCCACACTCTTCACTCACTTACGTGCCCTCCACAAAAACACAACGCACGCAGAGATTACGCCGCCCCCACACACACACCGATAGTGTCAGATTACGTGACCCCACCCCCACAGAAACACCCCAAGATTACATGTCCCCCACACAGCAACAGTCACCGATTATGTGTTCTCCCTCACACACGCGCGCGCACCCACGCACACACACACACAGACAGACACACGCGCACACGCGCACACAGACACAGGTTACCTGCTGCACACAAACCAACACACACAGATTACTTGTCCCACACACACCAACACTCACAGGTTACTTGTCCCCCACACACCGACAGTGACAGATTATGCGTTCAGCCACTCGTGGATGCTCTCAGATTACGCACGGGGATGTATGTACACATTATACTGACCATTCTCGTTCCACTCTCTGTAAACAATTGTCTTCGAACTCGCGTCGATGTCGAGGAAGGCGTAGAGGATGTGTGTGCACAGTGTTGCGTTGATGTTACTCGGCACAAACCGTGCCGGTGCTGATCTGTACTGGGACCAGTTGGTGATGTAGCACGCCCTCACGTACTTGCTGCACACTGTAGGCACAGACATCAGCTGTACTGCATGGACAACAGCTGCTTGCCTATAGAGGTCAGTTTCAACCTGTCCAGCAGCTGGACATTTCCTGACATCACTACACTTTGTACAACGATCATGTATATCACGTGTAACAGACAAGAGTGAGTGCATGAGTGAGTGAGTTTACTTTTACGCCGCTTTTAGCATTATTCCAGCAATATCACGCCAGGCGACACCAGAAATGGGCTTCACTCATAGTACCCTTGTGGGGAATCGAACCAGGGTCTTCACGAACGACGAGCGACGAGCGAACACTAAGCTACCCCACCGCCCCTTTTCAGACAAGAAGGGCCATGTATTTGATATTTGCTGCCACTAGTTTATAGAGAAAGTAACCTAATATTTTACTTTTGCTTGACACACATACACTGTAAGTAGATTTAAGGGAACAGTATGTGTCTGTGTCAAAATACCGAGAAGATTTACCTTCATTACTCGTACAGGTTTTCGTGAGGAAAGAGTTTCCTGGCTTGGTGACCTTGACCGTGTTCACAACGTAGACGTAACAGTCAGTGTCCCGTATCTCCGCTGCCACGCACCCGGCAGTCCCGTCACAGAAGTCCTTGCACTCCTGGGTGGAAGCCACTGTTTTAAAATTAGCCCAGTCAGATTGATCACCTGCAGTGTCCGCTTCCTCCGTGTAAGTGCAGCCCCCTGAAAACACACACACACACACAGAGTAAAGGGACATTAAGGACACAGTAGAATGAACATGCATGCCTATTGTATATCAGATTGACAGCTGGTTGTTTTTGAGTATATTATTAAACACATGACGATAATTCTGATATCAGCAAAATTCTAACACTGCATATGCATTGACTGCAGGATATTTATTATCAAATATGCACATAACGTGTTCCTAAATTAAAATCAACAATCACAAATATGCCAGTTGCTTAATATGTTTTCAATGAGAAAAGTTTCCGTCACTGTACACAACTATTCAAATCTGCCTGTCTGAAAAGGAAGGTTGACGTTGTAACATCTACATCTAGAATAAGATGTCCTCAAATATTTGGGTCACTTCATCTTAAATGTGTTTCCATAACTATTCACATATTCATAAGGTATTTAAACGTATTGTAGTAATGCCTTTAAGCATACTTGCGATGACTGAAAGAGATTACCGTGTAGCCTGTGTCTATCTGTGTCAATGACTTGTTTACAGCCTGCTACTCCAGGCAAAGCAAAATATAAATCTAACATTGTTTTGTGAATAATGATTCACATCATCCGAAGATTATGAAAAAAGGGACATGGTATTGAAAACTAACTGTTTGCTAAACGCAACAATACTACTCAAAGTTTGCTAGGGATTACGTCTTGATGACATCTCTACTGTCTGTGTACTTTGGTAATTACCTTGTCGACACAGAAAGACTTGTCCAATATTTATTCATATCATTTTGGAAATGAAATACTGACACTGTAGTAGTAAACAGATGTAAATAAATACGAAATCCCAATTACTATAAATGTCCGTTACCAAAGTACTACACAAAGCATTATATGTTGTTAAAGGAAGTCTTATTTGGTATTTTAACAAAAAGTCATACTTCCTATGACAAATTATGGAAATTATAGTGGTTATATTATATTATGGTTATTGCATATAGTTAAGATAAAACAATAGTTCCTTATATCCTAATATAATTTATGTCAATTACAAAGAGATGAAATCTGTATAATAACTCAAATAAAAGTTTAAAACTTCCAAGACAGCCTTTACAAAGATAATTTATTGAAAGCAAACAAGTTCACAACACAATATAGCCTTGTACGAAATGACAGGGTTGAACAATCTGTGAATCACAAATAAGACGTGATACATATACTTTAGTTTCACCGTGGTTGAAGATAGCAGAGGATTGCTTGCGACGCCTATCATCCCTTAAAACCATAGACATGCATAGTCTGAGCTTGAAAACGTGTCGAAGCCAAAGGGGGATAACTCTCATTAGTGTAACGTTCACTAACTCACTATAAACAAAGTTATGCCACTTTTCAAAAGTGGCTAAAGGGAACTACATGTAATCCATTAAATTTACTAATGTGCCACGTGTCAAATAGGCCTCTTATTGGCCCACGTCGCCCTAAAACCTTAACACCACCTGTGTCATTACAACATAAACCAATCATATAACACGGAAAGATTGAAACAACCCGATATACAATGGCTGGTTAACCACTACAGGACCCAAATTTTACTTTGAACGAACAGATTGCATCCAGTCACGGACACGGAATGCACGAGTTGCTTGAAACCCTGTGTTTGGATATATTCTGACTGAATTGTTGCACGTCAAAATGTTATCAGAGAGCACAGCATTTGATATTGACGACTGCACCCACCGGGGGCACGTATGCTCCCGCATCAGCAAAGAAGGTGTCCGCAGAAATATGACCAGCAGTGCATGGAACTAGAGGTCTGGATCGGGGAGACATGTTTCTCCGGATTATAGGAAGACGCCATTACTTCGTGACACCTATCACAGTCAGGAATGACCCATGGAAAGCCAGAAGCGTTAGCGGTAAAATAATTAGAAGTTGGTCCACTAAGGAAGGATAACACTATATGGATGAACACCGTCTATAATAAACATGGTCGCACATCCATATATTGCCATCCTTCCATATATTGCCATCCTTCCTTATATTGCCATCCTTCCATATATTGCCATCCTTCCTTATATTGCCATCCTTCCATATATTGCCATCCTTCCATATATTGCCATCCTTCCTTATATTGCCATCCTTCCTTATATTGTCCTTATATTGCCATCCTTCCATATATTGCCATCCTTCCATATATTGCCATCCTTCCTTATATATTGCCATCCTTCCTTATATTGCCATCCTTCCTTATATTGCCATCCTTCCATATATTGCCATCCTTCCATATATTGCCATCCTTCCTTATATTGCCATCCTTCCTTATATTGCCATCCTTCCATATATTGCCATCCTTCCATATATTGCCATCCTTCCTTATATTGCCATCCTTCCTTATATTGCCATCCTTCCATATATTGCCATCCTTCCATATATTGCCATCCTTCCTTATATTGCCATCCTTCCATATATTGCCATCCTTCCTTGGTTCCTACTCAGCATTGGTATAAAGTTGATTCGACATGACATGCACGTTACAGGATTGGGATGATGATAACGTCAGTTGCACGGCACATGGTTGTGGTTCAATACACAGGTGAGTCGAGATACGGTGGCCAGCCGGCATAGTATGAGGGGAGCTCAATAAGGATTTGTTATTTCAATAGAGGTGTCGGGGGACAGATAATGCTACAGGCAAGACATTACTAAATTTGTACGTGGGACCGGATGATGGTGCAGGACTTCATCCTCATATGGTCGATAACTCAGACCTTCATCGCCCCAGGGTTGTTTATGTCTGCTCAGAGCAGGAGACCTCTGCCCGACCTTCATTTTCATGGTCCCCCTACATATACACATACATATATATATATATATATATATATATATATATATATACACACATATATATATATATATACATACAAATCGCAGATACACTCTTCTACACTTGAACCCAGTTACACGTAAATCTGGAAAGTTATGTTTACAGACTCAGTAGCATATTCATATTGTGGTTCATTCAGATCAATACATCTGTGAAGATGCGGGTTAGAACTGATCTTCAGCAACGCATGCATGTCGTACACGTGTCATCGTATCCCAAATGCGTATATCGATGCTCATGCTGTTGATCACTGGATTGCCTGCTCCAGACTCGATTATTTACAGACCAAAGACATCCGACAAATTACACTCAATACCAATCCAACATTGACAGCAAGAGAACAGCGTGCCTCAGTGTAAAATACCCGGAGAAGTCAATGATGAGGCAGTAAAATCTCCCTCATGTCATGGAGTTTTTGAACTCTAACCCAAAATGGACATGGATACACACTAAGTCTATTAGAGAATGGCGTCATTTTTACAGAGAAGGGACACATGACATAACTCGGAAATCTCTAAACATGGGGCTGCATTCATGAGTAAGACAATGTACTGCTGGTAGCAGAGAAGACTTCCTGATTCACCATAACCACACTACATCATATCGACCTTGCAGTTTGTTATTAGAAGCATACCGCAACTTAAACAAAACGTTTGATCGGAGAAAGGTTGATTCTCCAGTGGATCTTTCTGCAGAAAGTAGGTAAATCCTCATAAATAGCTGGGGAAAAACAGTGAATTGTTCAACAGATATGAATGACATTAAGTTATCCTCCCAGGGCTGATTCCACAAAACTGTCTAAAAGCAGTTATATCCTGAATATAACAAGCTACATTGTGAAAAAACTAGTAATCAACAAACTTATGCATAGCCCTATCACTGTTATTTTGTTTGAGGTTCAACAAATAGCAAAATGGCTCCCCAACTGCGTTTTAAACTCATTCCAAAAATAACGCGTGGGCAATATCACACAAAGAACATGGCTACTTGAGGTACGTCTACGAGATATAGCAAGTTGGCAGTATAAAGGGGAATGTCTCAACAAATCAAGAGTACACACATCAATTACGTACTTGGTAAAATGTGGGAAGCGATCTTGCAGTCCACGGTTTGCGTCATTAGAAACATAACGAGAGACCTGTGGTTGGCCTTGTGCGTTTGCCTGAACTTATGGAATAATGCCATTCCTCAATCGAGTTCAAGTTAAGTCCGTTAATTTGGGGGCGTCTGTTCTGAATGACATTATTTTCTTTTATTAAATCCCATTTCGTTTCCATAAATCAGATAATTTTTCACTCTTGAGTTATAGTTTTAAAGTTTTCAGCTTCACATGTAACCATACAAGATGGCCGAATTGCTTCATGGCCGGAGATATGAACTTGCTTGGTTGAAATAACCTGTCTGTAACCTGAATAACCCCAATATAAGGAATAAACCCTTGTGACCTAAAATATGTTTGTCTTCATGCAACAAATGATTCTAACTAACTCAGTTCAGTCTCCTGAGTAGACGCAACTCTGTGTGCTGCAGACACCTGTATAATACAAACAATACGTGTTGTAGCACTCACTGTTAAACTAACTCTGTCTTGTCTGGCCACATAATTACACCCAACATATTGTAGCACAGACAGAAGTGCCTAGTTGTTTAGTTGACGAAGTACGTTTCTGTACCACTTCAGGCAGCATACATATGATCAGTTTACACATATAAGCTTTGTTATGACTTTCTTCTTGGAAATATATAGTAGGACGAAGTTCATTGTCCTTTCAAGTGTATATGTCATAATAACTCAAACAATCAGTTAACATATAGCAATAACATAAATACATTTTATAGAAAATGGGATCAAAACACGCCAATGAGCTATCTCATTAACATCTACTTGGCGACATCTATCGATTGCCACTACCATTAACTGGGACATCTTGCATAACGGGCATTGTTAAACTTAGTTCATCTCTTACAGCAACCCACAGTTAACCTAATTAATCAGGAGTGGGCCATTGTTATCCTTAGTTTATCTCTCTTACAGCAACCCATAGTCAATCTAATTAATCAGGAGTGGGCCATTGTTATCCTTAGTTTATCTCTCTTACAGCAACCCATAGTTAACCTAGTTAATCAGGAGTGGGCCATTGTTATCCTTAGT